AAGAATTTCCTGAAAGTGCAGCCTCCTTTCCTATTCCGTAGCTGCCTGACCTGCAAATTTCACTCCTTATTGTTGTAACAAACTCTGATTCCTCCTTTATTCCTCCTTTAATTGTTATTACTGATATTTTTGAACTTTCTATCATCTCTGCTGGTAACTGGAGGTTAATGTAAGAAAGTGAGCTACATAAATAAGGGAATGCAAGGAAAAGTTGAAATACAGCAAAATAAAATGTGCAATACAATGCATTTGCTATAGATGTATAAAAATTCAAATGGTGTATTTTATATGGTTATTTATGTGCAATATGTATATCAGTTTTTATTTACTAAAATATATGCAGCTGAGAAACAGTTCCAGACTGTAGTAATAATGCAATTGGTGATAAACATGAGATTTCTAAAACAAATTAATATTCAGTGTAATGTGGTTTTGAAAATTAATTGATTTTTGGCTGCTTCTTCAATGACCTTTGTATGGACGGTTACTGGAGCTTAATGTCTTTGAATTATATTGTTCTAGGAAAGATGTGGTATGTTTTCAACATGGAAACAAGTAAGATCTTTGACTAAACAAAAAGCATATACAGAAAAGCATTCAAAAAATGTATGTAGCAGGTTGTGTTTCATGAATGCCTTTATAAAGTAGCTTAAGATCTCTGCACATTTAATTCTCAAGTCCAGCAACCAGCCAGTAAGCCACAGTCCTCAGGTGAAAAATGAGAAATTTTAAGGGCTGTTGAACACATGAAATTTAGCAAAGTGCTCAATAGCCCTCAAAATTTCTCATTTAGGAGAATGCATATATGTTGCTTCCAAAAATGAAGGCAAACTTCAGGTTTGGTTTTTTTTTATTTACATTTCTTCCTCACTCCTTCCCTCCCTCCCAATGTCTGTGAGTCTCTTACACCATGAGTAGCTGGTCTGTCATTCTGCTTGTTTAGTAGCACATATAATACACTGCAGATTAAAGCACTGGAGTAAGTTCAATGTGAAAAATATACATCAAGTTGTAGTGTAACACTAAATTCCCAACCCATAAACAAAAGTGCGTTTTTGGGATATTTTCCCCTTGCATTCCCAATATACTCCCTCAGATATAAGCTATAAACATGACGCTTTTCAGGTTAATGTGTGTTATATGCCTTTCTGGTTCCTTACTTGTTCTCTTCCCCAGACTCTGATATTTTCAGTGTTCTCAAAAACCCTCCAGTCTGAAAGAGAACACCAGGCCAGATACGTATCATGGATTTAAAATTCCAGTACTCATATTTTCTCCTTGACTTTGAGCTATTTAGTCTCTTTTAAAATTTTATATTTGCAGAAAGAGCAATTTGTATTTTTTCATCCAGAGAATTGATTTTGTGTGTGTTTGAGCACAGTGCATCCTCAGAAGAACCACCTCATACCAAGAATCAAGAATAAAATTAATTCATGAATCAGTGATGTTTAAAGACTTTTAAAATCAATAAATTGCAATTGCTTAATTATATGGTGGAGTTCATAAAAGGCACCTAATTGCAAGATGTCAAACTATTCCAGTTTATAAATAAATTATATTTTTCTGTAAGCTCTTTCTCTAGTTGATCACATAGGTCAATTAAGTAATTTAAATGATTATTTATCATTTTGTTATTTATACAAAATAATAATTTCCATACGTGAATAGGAAAATTGGAAAGGAAGGTTCTTCATGCCCATCACTATTTATACACTCATTTTATATTTCTTCTGTCTTCTTTGTTTTTGGGTTATTTTTTCTCTGTTCTGAATATTTATTTATCAAAATTAATATTTATTTATATTCCCAGTTAGTTGATATAAATTAGCAAAATTCTTGGATAATGGCAACATTGAGGAGATTCCACAAGTCCTGCAAGTCCAAGTTTGCAGAATTAATGGGCTGGAGAGAAGGGCCTCCATGGTCTTTCACTAGGGTAATTTTTTTTTTTTTTTTTTTTTTTTAACCTGTACCAGAAAAACTAAGAGTTGCAGAAAGAGTAGCTAGCACAGAATTACTCCTGACCATACAGTGGACAGAGAAATAGTCCTGACGATGCACTGGGATAAGTGTTTTGTATCTTCATGATAATCCTAACTATAGGTTTTTAACTGTAATGCTGGCTAAATTGATGGCATAATAAAAAAGCCCTTCATGAGTTGCCTGGAGTTTTCAGTAGCTCTGTTAGTGTGCAAAGCTGGAGCTGTGCTAGAACTGCCAGGTCAGCTGCCCAGTTCTCATATCAGCCTTAAATAGCAGAGGCACCACTGTCCAACTTCTCTTTAACTGCTTATCTCTGAGGAATTTTATTTTTTTTAAAATAAAAAATAGTATTTAGATGTAGAAAGAAAGGTGTCTGTTAATTGAAATGCTAATTTATTTTTTTTAACAAAGCCTTCTTTTCTTTTACCTTAGTCTTTAGATTTTTTATATTTCTTCATGCATTGCTTTTTGTAAAACTAAATTAGTATCAATGTGAGATAAAGTACTTGTTTTTTTAATGATTGTGTTACAGTTGGCACCATGAGGGTCAAGAGTTAAAAAATCCTCTCATCATCTTCATAACTGCCACTTTTTTCTCTCTCTGTTCATGCAAAAACTTGAATTTTGTATTAATGTTCTCTCATTTCTCTTGTGATTATGTCTTTGTGGTATACTGAATCTATCATAAATCTACTTGAACTTTATCTCCTTGTGGAAATATGTAGTATTTTAGGTAAAAAGGTTAGCTATGCAGACTTAACAGCAGCCACTTCTGCCATTGTAAAAGCTTTTCAGAGAATGCATCCAGTGGGAGTTAAAATCCTGAAAAGGCTTGTATACTTAAGAAATAGACTATTAAGGCAATAGATTGTGTTAGACTTGAGTTGAACATGAGTTATAATATAAAAATTCTCTTGCCATAAAAAAATAAAAAAGGAATTAACATACAGACTGAAGGGTAAATTCTGTCCTTCTTAAAAATGTGTAACCTAATTAGCATTTCGTGGGTTTTCTGGGATGAATTTTCCCCTTGGCATATGCAAATACAAACATGGGCCCCAGGCTGCTAATGGCAGACATCTGCCTGAAGGGACAGCCATGTAAAAAAATGCCTGCATCCTTGCCCCCTGAGGACCTGTCATCAGCTGAGGTGATTCTTGAATTTATGGGAAGATTTTTAATTGTGGGGAAGTTCCTCACATGGTGAAAATAAGCAAAGATCTCTTTTGAAGGGCAAGAAGGATCAGATGATGTTTCTTGAAATCACACCTTGAAATTGTAAGGTGGACAGAGTTTAAATGCCAACTATTCCCTATGCAACTGCTTCCAGATATATTGGAATAGTATTCTCTTAGCCATCTCCACCTAACCTTGGAGTCAGCCTCAGTGCATTTATGAGAGATTTGGAGGACAGGGCTCCTGAAGGCACGTCTCACCTTCTCGAGGATAGGGCTGAGATCACATCCTCCTCCTGTGAAGAAGAGGGGAAGATCAGAGTACTGATGGAGCCCTTGGAATGATCCCCACATGTGTCCAAAAGGAGCAGGAGCAGTGGTGACTGGTGCTGCTGGGATGGGACACCCAGTGCAGCAGCTCCAGGCAAGACAAGGTGACCTTCTGTGACTCCTGTAGGAAAGTGAGGCTGTGGCCATGCTTTTCTGTTTGCTGCCCACCTTCTTCCCTTGCCCTCCACAAATGAGGTTTCTGTTCCCTGAGCTCAAAGCCAAGACTACAGCCAAGACCTTCAGGAATTTTTGGATGGCCAAAGAAAGATATATAGAGACAGATGACATAAAATTTCCTCAGGTGGTTCAATTTATATTTTAGCATCTGGTTTGTAGGTTTTGGTTGATACCTTCAAGAAAATACTAGGGCTTTTTTTAATTTCAGAAAGAGTGCTTAAAATCATAATCATTCCTCTCACTAGCTGGTAGGTGGATTAGTTTGGCAAATTAAAGCTTTAGTTAGGATGACTAGTAGAAAAGAGTACTTGTCCTTAGTCTTGATCAGTGACTCTTGTCTCTAGTGTTTCTTTTCTAGAAACTGAAATACTGTATTCATATTTGATATTGTATTTAGTCTCTCAAGATGGCATCCCAGGTCTGATGTTCAATTAGGGAGTGAAGTTCTGTAATCCTTATTTAATTAGAACTCCCTGTCACAGTCCCTGTGAGTTGTATTTGTAATTGGATTCTCACAAGTGAGAATATGCAGAGGCTACCTCAAAGGAAGTTGCAATTTGTTGATGTGTGTTACTTACCTGTAGTTCTTCGAGATTGTTTCCTCTGCATATTCACATTATGGGTCCTGTCCACCTTCTGTTTGTCCTTGGATTTCTACTGCCCAGCAGCTGCAGTGTTCAGTAAGAATAACTTGTAGCACTGTACAACTCTCAAATCTCAGATGGTTTGGTGTCATGAGATGGCCCTTGTACAGTCCTAGTAGTCACTGCTCTTCTAGGAAGTTCCAGTAGGCCACCAGCACTGGAGAACCTAAACCCACTGGTGTGAATATGCAAGGACAGCACTCTCAAAGAGCAAGCCAATGGTAAGTATCCTTCTTTGTCTTCCATGCTAAACCAAATATTTTAAATATCATTTTGTAAAATCCATATTGGCAAATTTGCTACACTTCCCCTAGGATAAAAACATACTGAGTTTAATTTAGAGCTGCTACCTTCCTGGCAAAACGTGAGAAAGTATCTGTGTTTGCAGATGCTCACTTCAGTTGTAAATTGATGTGCAACTATCATTGTGTGGGTGTGTACGTTTGAGCTATAATACATATTTCTATCAGATAAAAAGGCACAATTACAGTGCAGCACTATATATTTTACTATATGTTCTTCTAGTTGTATTGTACTTAGAGTAGATTAGATATCAGAGTAAGTCACTAACCAAAAAAAATCTTCTAATAGTGTGAACAGTGTTAATTCTCAAAACAGATTCTCCAAAAGAAAAGCAAAGTTATGTTGCTTTTCACTGCTACATTTTTTTCTGAACTTTTGTTTTTTCCAGACGTGGAATTCTGCGAGACTCCCCATATCCTGTGCTCTGGCTATCAAACTGACTTACATGGGGTAGCTGAGCACAGTTACCCGCTGGAGGTGGGCTCGGATGTGGACACGGAAACAGAAGGTGGCGCATCCCCGGACGTCGCCCTGAGGATGTGGATGAGGGGGATCAAATCGGAACACAGCTCCTGCTTGTCAAGCCGGGCAAACTCAGCGTTGTCCCTCACTGACACTGACCATGAAAGGAAGTCTGATGGGGAGAATGGTAATAAAGAAATGCTTCTAATGTACTCAGTAGTAATTTTATTTACTCAGAAGTAATTGTCTACTTCTCTTATTTTCCTTTTTTCTTTCATTTTTCTGTTTTGATTTGTTTCTTTTTTTCCCCTTCATTCCTAGATCCCTGTATTGTATGTAAGGTGTATTTATAATTTAGAAAATAAGACAAAAAAATGAAACAGTGATTTTGTTAAAACATCGTTTCTCTAGAGACAAATAACTTTCCCACATTCTTCATTTTTATGTCATAAAATTTATGCATTTTTTTATACATTTATCATTTTAATTTGGTGGCCTATGAATTAGGTTCTAAAGTAAATCTATATATGTGCATTTATATCGCATTTTGCATACAGTTGCTCCTGTGGCTTCTGGGCATAGCTTTAAGGCTCTTCAGCCAGGTGACTTGAAAAAGACAACCTGGAGTCCTAAATTCTCTATTTACCTGTAATCTTACGCTACACCTGAAGACATGTCTTTATCAGTAGGACAGACTGAACCGGTCTTTGTTGCATCTCAGTTCTGTATTTCTCTGCATATGGAGAGTGGGCTTGTGGGTCACATGGGTTTGGTTTTTGTGTACGTGTGTTTTCTAAATATTCATTCTCATTCAGGATTTTTGTATATGTTTACTCTTCTTACAATTTAGTGTGTCACAGAAGGGAAAAATGTCTATTTAATAAATAACGTGGGGAATTCATATATTTTTATCTCTGCATTAAAATTGATTAAAAGCTACTCTGTTTCCTTACAAAGTATAGTAAGTAAACAAATTTATCATGCTTAAGATCAACAAGCTTAGCTGATATTTTAATTTCTGTGTTTATTAGCTGCATGTTATGGCAGGTCTAGATGTCATTAAATATTGACACTTCGTTGTTGACAATGACATATTTTAGTGCCTCTGTAGTCATAAGGTTAATATTACTGAAAGAGGTTTCAGTTATAGATGGCATTTCTGTATTTACATGTTTGAATTTATCAAAGACGAAGCTCATAATTATATAATTTCACCTGGACGTCTGCCAATACCAACAATAATGTCCAATATAGGCTCAAAAACATTACATTATCTACTTGAGGTTAAAAAATAGATATTAGTGCATGGCTTGTTTCTAATTAAATATTCCTTTGAGAATTAAGCATCCTGTGCTACAACATTTTATTGTGTTGCTGGAACCCCATTTCCACTGTGCAATGGCTGCCTGTCTTCCAGCTTCCTGCTTCTGTGGGATCCATCCTCTGTAAAGTGTTTGTTGCACAGGGAAGTTTTGTTTGGGCTTGAGGGACACTGCGTGTTTGTGTTTTCCTAAGACATTGGGTTATAGATGGTGGCTGAAGGAATTGAATCTGGTCTGCCTGGCATTGGTCACCCCTTAGCTCTGGAAGTGGTTGAAAGGGAATGCTGCAGGGAAGGAATGTGCATACTTGTGCCATTTAGACTAAGAAATACATATTTCTCCTGTAAGCTGCTGGGAAACAGAAGTATTGAAAGCAAATTAAGCACATAACAGAGTTCTGTATTTCAGTCTGGAGTGCAGTGATGCAGCTGGGTGTTGATGATATTTTGCTTAGTTGTACATGTACCACTAAATAATCTTCTGTAGATGAAAATTACTGTAAATAGTGCATCTTCATCATCTTGCACAGATGTAGCAAGAACCATGGGTTAAGTGTTGTTAAGATAGGGACACACAATCATTGTGCTTCCCCACCAAAAAATGGTTTCTTCTAAAGGTTTGTCTCTGAGATTGTTTTTAATCAATTTAAACTGCTGTAGATAGAGTAGTCTTTTTGCATGTGGCTTTAATATTTCATTTCTTGTAAGCCTTATAACAATTTTTAAATCAGAGATTCATGCTTGAGGTGCTTGAATACCAATTTTAACTAAATAGATGGGAGAGGAAAGCAAGGGCAATACCAAGTTGGAAGAGTGAGAAACGGAGCACAAGCTCACTTGAACTGTTTTGATGTCTCCAAGCAGGGCCAACTAAACAGTACTTCCTGTGGTGTTGAATCATTATAACAATTACAGTCTTGAAAGTTAATGTCTGCATAAATTTGAACACCACAGTTCAAGCTATATTTGTTTATATTATTTGTTATTTCACAGGTAAGTTCATAGCCAGGATTCCTACTCAGAGGGCAGTGTGTTTTTCATCTGGGTAGGCACTCAGCAACAGAGCACTCTTTGAATACAGAAGTTCATAAATCTCTATTTGAATTATGTCATAGATGGCACATCTTCCTGTTTCTATGCAGTCCTTTGTGCCAGGGGCTTTATCAGAGAGACACAAATGCTGCATTTATCCATGTCAGTTTCTGCCATGGAAATGTGGTTTTTTTGCACCCACCAGTAACTACTCTGGTGTGAAATGGGAGAGTGCATAAGATCTGTTGCTGGAAGTACATGAAATATTAGTTTCCATGATACTTTCTGATTGCTGTAAAATATTTAGGAATTCTTGATTTCAAGGGATTGACAAAATGGTGTGTTGATGCAGCTATTTGGAGCTGAAGTAAAATTAATGAGAAAGGTAGAGTTGTTGCATCATTTGAGAAAATGTTGTTGTCCATATTTTAAAAGGGTCAGTAGGGTTTTGGGTTTGGGTTAAATTTTTTTTCTTCCTCTATGAGCACAGTTTTGCTACAAATGCAGAATAGGTCTTTTTGTGGTAGCACTGGAACAATTAATGGTGTGTGGACTCCAGTAGATGTGCTTTCATGGCATTGATTGGAAGCTAATATGCTTTGAAAAATTTTCTTCTTTTTTAGCTACTTCTTGACATTCTCCTGTTCATTCTAAGATCTAGATTGAAGTTCCCTGGCACAGGATATATACTTCTCTATTTATTCTGGGTAGCCCAGTTTGAGAATATGAAGACTGTTTTCCTTCATAGACACACCACCTCTGTGGTAATCACTGTTAAAACACACTCGTTGTTTTGGCAGCATTGAACAGATTGTATGAAACACCAACGTTCCCATTTAGTGTTGTCAAGTTAATGGCAACTAATAATAGCCTATTAGTGCACAGACTGCCTTCAGCTTTGCCTGAGGGTAAGCAAAACATACATTGAATTGCACAAAATGAATGACCAATTTCTTGGGGATCATTGCTTATCTCTGGTATAGTATAAATAGCTCAATTTAAACAGTGTTACTCAGCAGTCAGTATGTGAATGTAAATTTCAGACAGCAACACCACAGAATAACCATATCTGAAATAGTTCCTTTATTCCATTGAAGACTGCACTTGCCCTCAGTTCCCTGGTACAGTGGTGTCTGTCACTGCAGCATGTTAGAACATCAAGTTCAGTGCTTTCATCTGCCAGATTACTGAGCTGGCAAATATATTTATTTCTTTGTTTATTTTTCTGGGGTATGTGGTCAAGAAGAGGATACAAACCTGATCTGCAGAAAGGGTGATCTCCAGGTATATCCTGAAAATTTCATATCTTGACACAGATCTGCCTCCCACCCTAGGTAGTGTACTAAAGAGCAGCCCACAGTCCATTTTGTGTCTATATAACCTTCCTCATTGTAGTTCCTTCAGTTCTTATGTTTTCCTTTACAGGATGTCTGTGCAGCTGTGACGTGAGCAATTTGACCTCAAGTGCATTTATGCCATGCCATAATCTGTTTTTGAGCCACATTTGGCACATCTGCACAGCCATCAACTATTTTACTTTCAGCTGCTACAATTCAGCTGAGAGCTAGTATGGAACTTCAGCCATTCCTGCAATAACACAATTTTTAACCTTTTTTATTTTGTCATATTGCTTTGGCATGGTTTTAAGTCTGACTTGTTTGACTCATTCCTGACATCTACATGTTTTTATGCAATTAGTTACTCTTTCTCTACACCACAGTGACAACCAGTAGGAGATTACAGGATTCCCAGTGCTGGAGTGTACTGTGAAATGCAGTCTTGTCTTTGATCCAGATTCCTGCTCAATTTCTTTGGCTGAATTATTTTATGACGACTGGGTATTAGCTGTCGTTCACAATGACTTCTTTGAGATTCGTAGGCAAGAAATTAGGGTGTTAGTACAGGCTGAAATAGCACTGGTCATGCAATGTAACATTAGATCGCTTGTGGGATCTGGTCAGGGGACATTTTTTAATAACATACTTGTCTTTTCAAAAACAAAGCAAAAAGGGGAAAAACACAGTTGTGGGAAAATAAATTTTTTCCTTTTTGCCCACTCACATAAATTGTTGGAAAATTCTTTCTTAATGTGAGTGTATGGTATCAGATTCTATTTGAAACAATACTTCTAACAATAACAAACATTTTAAACGGCAGACTGCAAAAATGGGATTATGATATTAGCCATATATTAATAAGTGGATGTAGTAGAGAATTTAGTAGGTTACAGATCAAAGCTGAGTTTAATGAGCTTGAAACATGTAAGATTATTCTTGTGTGATTCATCTAAGTATTTGTTTTATAGCCTGGGAGCAGTGATCCATTTAACGGCGCTTTTGACTGTCCCTAAATCTCTGGGGATTTTTCCTTTTGATTAATGGACAGAGGGTGAGTTTTGGACAAGTCACCTTAGTTCTTTGCACTTCATATTCAGTATCTTAAAAGTGTCTGTTAAAGGGATGAAGGTACTTAATTAGTAAAGGAAATACTAGAATGGTTGATGTTCTATGAGAAGCACAGCTTTCGGAATACTGTAGTTATGCAGGCATGGGGAGCATTTAGCTAAGGACTGGGCTTTGATTTAATGCATGGTGTGTGTCAGTAGACCTACCGTGAATTCACACCTGTTTAAATTAGGCTTGAATTTGGCTCTTCATAAAAGCCATGTATTTAATGTAAGAAAGTGACAACATTGCAATTGATGTTGCTGTTATTTACTGTTATTTTGTAAACAAGTCAGGCATTAAGCTGATCTCTGGATTTCTCATTTCTCCAGGAAATTATTACTAACAGCTAAATTACAATAACAGTGCTCTGAGAAGTGGGCATGTGGC